GGTTAGACGACCAATCAAAGGCCGAATTAACAATAGAAGAACGCCTTGGAAAAAAAAATTTTTTAAATTATAGGAAATAGGGAAACTACACAAAGAAAAAACACGAAGATGGAAGAAATACAGGAAAACTACCAGGATATAGGATAATAAGCTACCATGTGGGATCAACAAATTAAGAAAGAAGAATTGGATACATAAATAAATAGAATAAATATTAAATCTGCACTAGGAGAAGATGGTACTGAAAATAGTATACTCAAACACTTGTCTAACAAGGAAATTTTATACAACATATTCACAGAAGTTTGGCAAACCAATAGAATCCTAGAATAATGGAAGAAAACTATTATAATCTTTTTGGAAAAACCTAATAAAAAGGCATTAAGACCAATATCACTAACAAGCTGCATGGGTAAACTGAAAGTATCAGAAATAATAGACTAGTACCCTGGGTGGAAAAAACACAATAATGGACTAAAAACAAAATGGATTCAGAAGAGGCAGATCAACCATGAATAACATCACATATCTAACAATGGCAACTAAGAACGGATTTGAAAAAGATCAAGACACCCTCATTACAACCATAGATGTGACAAACATATATGAAAATGAAAAGCTCAATACACTTGTGAAAATACTCAACCAAAAGAAGTGCCCTAAGGAGATTCTAGAATACATCAAACCCTGGCTAAATAAAAGAAAAATCACCTGTAAAAGAAACTATAAAAGAGACATTTTTAGGATACTAACCAAAGGACTACCACAAGAGGCAATCACTAGAACACATGAATAGAAACAACACAGATATTATCCACTATGCCAATGACATCACGATCTTCACAACAGGAAGCTCAAAAGAGAACGACAAAGAAAAGATCTCAACAGTAATTGAAAAAATAGAAGAGAATCTGATAAGTCTAGGCTTCAAAATAGCAACAGAGTAAACGGAAATAATAAATCTAACCAGGAAAGGAAGTAATAGAAACATAAAGGAGATTAACATTAAAATTCAATTAAATTCTGCTAAATATGCATATTGACAACAAACTCACTTTTAAACAACACATAAAGTATGTTACAGAGAAAGTCAGAAGGATGGCAGTCTAAAAATACATTAATAGAGTTAATAAAGGGATAACTCCTAAGTTAGCTATAATGTTTTATAAAAGCCTGATTAAATCTGTAATAGAATACAGTCTACAAGTACTCTGTCCCTCGGAAGAAAAAGGATTGGATGATTTAAACAATCTACACCAGGCAGGCATGAGGGTAGGATACAGAACTACTACCCCGATGAATGTAATGAATACAGAAGCTGTAATCTTAGATGTAACGAGAAGGGCAGATATACTAGCATACAAGTATGTAATTAAAAATAGAACAAAGATTAGTAATTGTGTTGCAGAAGCTTTAGAGAGATTTGTAGAATATGATGCATAAGAAAATTTCAAATGGAATAAGATCTCTATGGTCTGGGCACTCACAAGAGAAATTGGAAACAAGATAAAGAAAAGAGAACTGTGGAGAATCGCTGGAAGCAGGACAATTGAATATGAAATCAAATGCCAAGAGGAAGAAACAACAAGATCAACCAAAAAGAATATAGATGTGGAAACAAGTAAGGTAATTAATCATCTAAAACTAAATGCAAACACAAACTGGATCACACAAATCATCAAAGAAAAATGGGAAAAAACCGACCAAAACACCATAGAAATATATACTGATGGCTCAAAAACGGAAACAGGTATTTCCAATGGAATTGGTATTGTAATAATTAAATGTAATTCAAGCTTACGCTGTGTCGACACAGGACAGTGCCGTTTTTGAGAAAGTCAAATATTTTCAAAGGATGTGTATTTTCTCATGAACTTAGGTCTGGCTGGAAAACAATAACAACTTTCACACGAAAGATTGCCAGCCAGACCACCTCAACGGTAGTTGACACATCGTAAGCCCACACGCAGTCAAAAGAGGAATCTAGGATTTATCAGTCGGTTTTTCGAACAAGGACCTTTTGTGTGACATCCTATAGGTCTTGTTTACCGGACGAAATACTTGGCTTATAGGCGTTGCGCAATCGGAAAACCGCCCCAATTTTTAATTGGACAATCCTAGGTCTCACTTTTCTGCATTTATTCCCTCCAAAATACGACTTGGAGGAAGTTTTCTCCGACAATGGAGGGAGCGTTTTTGACTTCGGTGGAAAGCATTCCTATATCGAGCAGAACAACTCAGAATCCATCAGAGAGAACACCTCGAGACCCCGGACTGAACAAAACAGTTCAGAATCAACCAGAACCTTTATATATTAACACACAGTCTTACAAACTATGTTACATTGTAAATAAACAATTGTTAGTAAAGCTAGTAGTAAGGCTTTGCCACATATTCTTAATTCCACAAACCGCTGGAATTAACGGATAGATCGAATATACCTCAAGTATAAATAAGACAAACACAATATATGTATACCTCAGAAACCATAGCAATATCCAAAGCAATAGAAATAGCCAATAGGAATTTTAAGGACAGTAATATTATCATAATGTCAGAGTCCATGAGCTTACTTTCAAAATTTCAAGCTAACATAGTTAAGGAAAACATTTGGAAACAAAATGAATGGACAGAAGATATAATAGGAAAACTAGAAACCCCACGAAACAACAATAGTAGCAATAATTTTACTCTAGTATGGATTCCATCACATTCTAGAATAACAGAGAATGAAAAAGCAGACAAACTGGCAAAGAAATACACTGAAAAAGAAGAAATAGAGGAATACACAATCCCAATCAGAGATCTGGTAACTAATTTCAAACAAGAAGTCTGGTAATATATCATGGAAAAGATGAGAGAAGGCAACAGAAAAGGAAGAAAGTACTTTAGAGAATGCGACATCAACCTAAACAACAAATTCCCATGGTTTTAAAATCTAAATAACTTAGAAAGAAAATCTATAAATATAATAGAATCCAAGCTAACCATTACAATCTGGTAGCCTCATTATACAGAAACTCTCCAGCTTGTGAGTGCGGGGCAGAAGAAGAAGATAGAGAACATGCAATCTGAATATATGCATTTTACCAGAAAATAAGAAAAGAATTTTTAACAAAATATAAGAAAAATGACATACTGATTGGGGAAAAATTAACGAAGATAATAGATAGGAAGAAAATTGTTAGCACAAGAATAATAGCAGCATGTATTAGACAAACCAGAAGACTGATGGAAGAAAGAAAAAACAAAAAAAACAAGGAAAACCAAGGAGATTTAACAAGAAATAAGTAAAAGTAAGCGATAGTAAGTGTGGGTGTGTGTATGTGTACATATTTATATTTATACTTACCTCACGGTGAGCGGTTAATCTTGAAAAAATAAAAATATAAGTGTGAATAATATTACAGATAATAGATGAACAGTATTAATTCAGAGACTATAAAGATGTGGAATGAGTGAGATATATGAAATGGTGTGAAGGAGAAGTGAAATAAAGGATCAGTGGGACAAATAAATAATAGATGAAAGGATAGAAAATAAAGAGGATGAACATTAGAGAAGAATAGGGTAAAATAAGAAGTATGTAAGAACAGTTAACATGCACGATGCTTATTTAAGTGCTATGTGATTATAGAGATACAACTTAGAATAAGAATAACATGTACAAAGGTGAACGGAAGTATGTATGTTAATCTAGATACAAAAAGTTTATAGTGTTACACTAAAAATAGTTACAATATTACACTAGAAAAGATCTACAATTGTACACTAAAAAAAATTTAAACTGTTACAATAGCAAATAAAAAGTTAAGAATCGTTATAAATTGTCATAAAGCGATGTGAAGAAAAAAAAAGAGGGAGGTGAAGCGCTAAGAGAGTAAGAGATTACGAGCGTTTTGAATTGACAAACATGATGAAGTTAATACATGAAACATAGAATACATTCCGCGGGCGTATGGAGAGGTTACTCTCTGAGAACCATCCCGAAATCTAAGACTCACAAAACTGTAGATAGAGGGTAAATAAACAAACAAACAAATCATTCAACTTTTGTTTGAAGACTTTCGATATCATTAACAGTTTTGAAAATATTTCAGTTTCCAGTCTTAGGTGACTCACCCGGTACATTTTTCAATATAATGATTCAATAAAAATTATATTTATCTCGCATATAAATGATTCTATTTTTGATCATTGTTTACATCGATTCTTCAATTCTTAAATATCACTGTAAATAACTGTAAGTGCGTGAACTTGGGAGGGTGGATTTGCATGAGAATTGCAGAGTGCGGACCTCATGATTGGTTCGAATGTATCGCGAAGCTTGGACGTGACAAATGAAATTTTAATGTTACAATGAATTGTGTACTTGCCTGTAGGATAGTTCTTCGTACTTGCCTAATGGTATACCAGTTGTGTCTTTTTCCGTTATTTTTATAACACACTCAAAGATTTGAGTTTGATAGGAGTAATAAGGTAATATATTTGTCCAATATAGCTATAATATTTTTTATTATAAATTTAAAGACAATAAATAAAACATTGAGATTTATTAATTTTATTTTCGAAAATTTAAGTGCCGTAATAACCTTATCGATAAATGAAAATGGTTATACAATTCTTATATTGTTTACTGTTGCTGTCATGTGAATTAATATTGCTTTTCTATTAATATCCAGTTGTTAAAACAAAAAGAAAACGTAAAAATACTTACATATGTGCATGCTGTTATTGAAAATTAAAAAAGCAATAATAAAAAATGTTATATTGATATACAAAAATCAAATAATGTTTTAGTAAAGACTTTATAATAAAAAATGCAGTTTTAAAACTATTACTAAAAAATGTTTTTGTACTTATTCAGTTTGTAAAAATGAAATTGTATTCAATATCAACATTAATGAAACTATAATGACATAATATATATAAAAAAATAATATTTTTCATAGAAGTTTTACGTATTTTTACAGATAATCAGTTTTACTAAATCAGTTTTATTAAAGTGTTGATGACATAAAAATTAATGTTATAAGTGGTAATAAAATTGGAGAATAAGTGATTGCAACTCTATTATAAACAAATATAAACAGTTGATATGGGTTCTGGGCAAAGTGCTCGTATGCTTACTATTGATAATGAAGAAATAGGTGTTATAGCGATATCAGAATCTGTTGTGGAACGATTAACTCAACAAATGAATGAAAAAAATGCTGAAGGAGTAAAGAAAGTAAGATCCGCTACATTAAGAGAACCATCTTCTACAGATGTTGAATCTCCACAATTACCTCATAATGATGTACCAGCGAATTTTGGTAATTCTATGCATTATCCACAAGTAACCTTAACTGCTCTTATGATGCATCAACAGAAAGAACAAGAGCTTCGTAGTCAAGATAATTATTGGCAGAAGCGCTTACAGAATTTGGAAAAAAAACATTCAAAAATTAATGATATTATTGATGCAGAGTATAAAAAAGCTGCAGAAGAATTATATGTCATATAATATAGTGTGCATATATATACAGGGTGTCCCTGGATTAAACGATCAAACTGCATCAGTATATTCTATGAGTAAAAATAAGAAAAAAATGTTATATAAACATAGGTTTACAAACGCTTTATAAAAAAGTTATAATAAAAATATGAAACCTAAAGTGAATAGCGAGTTCGTTGTTGATACATCGGAATGTAACAATAAGGCGACGGTATTTATGAAATCTGCTCCTTCTAGCCATGTTTACTATTTGAAATAGTCGAACACGATAACGCAGAGATCGAATTGTGTAAATATCTGTACTGTTATGATGAGTGAGCAAATTAGTATCAGTTCCGAAATGCTATTAACTTTAGGTTTCACTTTTTTATTATAACTTTTTTATAAAGCGTTTACAGACCTCTGTTTATATAACATTTTTTTCTTAATTTTACTCATAGAACATACTGGTGCAGTTTGATCGTTTAATCCAGGGACACCCTGTATATATATGTATACATATATACATAAATACTATATTTATACAAAAGCTGATTTCATATTAATCATCCTTAATATTTAACTGCTATGAGTGCATTCATTTGCTTTTAAATTATAGTTGTAAATAATTGCAGAAATGTTCATACTTTTTTCCAAATACCTAATTTATTTGTATTTTATTATAAATAGAAGATAAAGTGATCTTGGGTTTGAAAATCTTATTTTGTATTATCTTCAATAGCTATTGTCAAAAATGAATGAAAAGAACACAAATTTTGATGAAATGTGTATAAGAAACAGTAACAATAATTTAGTGAAAATAATTTAACATGAAACAATAGTGATAAATCTCAACATATGAATTCAAGCAGCTTTTTAATTATGTATGCTTTAAAATATTTACAAAATACGATAGATATTTCACTTTGATTGTTAGTAGAATCTGTTATAAGTGAAAGTTATCACCAGCTAAAATATAAACACCAAAATATAAATATAAAATTTAAATACCATTGCCAATCTGTTGAGAGGTATTAATTGTAGGTCACCTCGTTTATTTTTAAGTGATACAATATAAAAACTTTTACATTTTTGAATAGATCTCACTTAATGGAATTTATTTATAACACTCACTGTTGTTAATAAGAAGTACCACCTGAAATGACTTGTTATTTATTGATTTCATCAACAAAATTTTATATGAAATACATTATATTTAATAGGACTCATCAAATGGATGCATTCTGATTTTTTTTTGTCCTAAATTTTCTGAAGTATCAAGGTAACCTTGAATTTTTTAAATGAAATGCTATACATTTTTTTATATGATAATGAAAGCAACTGTTAGGATGAATTCAACCGTATGTGACACACTAACCTTCAAGGTCAGGAATGTTTTCTTTTATATTTTATTTAAAAATATGAAGCTTTAGACCAGAGTGGGTTTATAAGCTATCGTTAACAATATATAATCAATTTACCAAAAAAACATAGACTAATTCTCTTATTTCTACATTTTCCTTATATCTACTATTCAATCTTGCATTCTTTAAATCAGTTTTATGTTACATATCGTTTCAAATTTTTAGGTTGGCTGACCTTAGGAATTCGGTCACGATTCTGATGACCGGCAAGTGAGGTCTTTGTACAAATGGTTCAATTTTATTAATGCCTGTGAGTCCTTTTTCTCTAAGTTTGTCGATCATTTTCTTTCACGGGTGGGTGAATAGTGGACAGGTCCAAAGTACATTGTTCAAATCTTGGTACTTATTATTGCAGGGGTAGGCACTGCTATTGACTATTCCTACTCTTGCAAGAGTCTGCAAGACTATAGTGGTTGGTCCTGTAGCAACACATCCAGGAGATGGTTTCTCTTGGTAGCTGTTGTCCATGAAACCACGGTTTCCTTCCTGATTCAAAGTACAGTAAAGACTTTATAAATGTTTGAAATTCGGATCCTCTGCGGAACAGGTACGGGATAGGTACTAGATTCTCCAAATTCTTTGTATTTTACCGACACCGACAGACGCAGAAACAGAGGTATTGAAAGTCGAGGCAGTTGTGAAAAATTAAATGCCTATATATCGATAAGACAACATTAATACAAGAAAGAAACTTTCTTATTTTTGGTGTTTTGTTGATAAAAATTTTACTACCATATCGATGATATTTTTCTGATTAGAATGAGACCAAACATGGTATAATTCGACTTACATTTTGTTACTTAATAAAAAATTCCATACACATACATATGTATGTATAAAATAGAATATCGGTTTGTCGTAACCGTTGAATTCGAAGTTAAGCGGCCATAAATTTATTTATAAATTCCATTTCTAATTTTGGCAAATTACCTTCGATGATCTTTAAGTATTCGTTATCACTAATAAATAAATATGCACACATTTAAAAGTTCTCAAAAATAGCAGTGTTAATATTTATGTTGAAAATCCAAGCTGTTGAATTTAACGAAAATGTATATTTATTAGTAATATACAATTGCTTGCAAGTTGTTTGTGAACTGCTTGTAATTTGTTAATATAACAACTCCTATATGTATTCTTATGTGTTTTTTAAATTGCCACTCGCCAGAGATGGAAAATCGTTTCATGGACAACAGCTACCAAGAGAAACCACCTCCTGGATGTGTCGCTACAGGACTAACCACTATAATCTTGCAAACTCTTTCGCAAGAGTAGGAATAGTCAATAGCAGTCCGACCCCTGCAATAATGAGTACCAAGTTTTGTAACAATATCGCGTTTGGTGTCATTTTAATCAGGAAAATTTCACCAATATTTTTATAAAACTTTTATTAACGAAAAATTAAAAATAAGAAACTTTTGCCGTTTCTGTAGTGTTTTCTCACCGATATGCCACCACCGAATGCGATAACAATTACCACGACGTGTCACATTATTCGCTTGCCTGGTTTAAGGGTAGTCCTCTCTCATGGTGGGAATAAACCATGAACAGTTAATGTGTAGATCCCAACGAACTCTTGTAGAGTCTTTACTGTACTTAGGAAAGTACTCTTTTACTTTGGAGGTGGCTTCTTTTTACCATTCCTCTTCTGTATCCCACGACATTTTATCATTTAGGATGAAGTGCTAATCTGTATATGGCAATTTCAAATCTAGCAGTATTGTGGTAGACTCTTTGGTCAGCCATGTGCAATGAGATTTAGCAGATTTGTAAGTTGTTGTCTGTGGTATGTTGTTTCTGAAATTTATCAAGACTTTTCTTAATTTCGAATATATACTTGTTCAGGTGGGTGTTGATGGATTTACTGTTCAGCGCTTACACTATACTAGATGAGTCCGTACATATAATACATGACTTGGTTAGGTCGAGGTTAGCTACTTCTATTGCTATCATGATTGCCATTGCTTCTGCTGTATACAGGGTGTCCTGTACCATCGGGGAACCGCTTCAGTAGTGGATTCTGCACATGAAAACAAAAAAAAAGTTCATAAAAAAACATGCTCTATTTAATCTTGTTTTCGAGTTATAACGAGTTTATGTTGGAATAATTCTATCAAACGATAGAAGTAGTTGAACTAATTCTACCTACTTATTTATAAACAGAACTCAATATCGGACGTTAAACTTTGTATTCTAGTTCTGTAAACACTTCCTCTTAGTATCTCTGGTATAAGTCATTAGAGCATTAGATTATTGAAATACGTCGTGTGTGAAAATGGAAAGTTTCTGTAATCAAGGAATGACAGATATGCATTTAGTGTATGGGTTTGCCCAGTGTAATATTACATGGAGGAATAGAGAGAGAGTAAGATAGTCAATGAAAAGACATCCTCATACTTGTGTTCAAATTCAAGGAGGTCGTTTGGAACACCTCTTGTGAAAATATGTAGATACAGTGTGTTAAAGAAGAAACTCGCTATAACTCGAAAATAAGGTCAGTAGAGCATATGTTTATATGAACTTTCTTTTATTGTTATTATGTGCAATATCCACCACCGAAGCGATTCCATGATGCTACGAGACACCCTGTATATTGAAGCTCTACTGTCCAAGCTTATAACCTTTTTTTATGTTAAGTTGGCTTCCCCAGTGGAGTTTGAGCCATTTCTCTTTGAGTCATCTGTATAGTTATTGATGTGTAAGGGGAAGTGGGATCTAATGATGGTTATGAATTTAGTAGTTGGGGAAGGCGAGCTTTTTACTAGTTGACCAAAAGTAAAGTTGGTGTCCAGATGGATAAATTGTGTTGCAGTCAATTTCAAAGATGGGGTGATTGAAATGTCTTTCCATTCCTTCAATGAGAGGTTTGAGCTCATCCCAGCAGGTTTGCATGAGTGTTTTCCTCTAGATACCTCTTTGATTCCTTGTAGGTCTTTACCTACCTATTTCCATTCTGTGATAAAATCCGCAATGGGATTAAATTGATTACTTAATGTTTTTAGGGTATATTTGCCAGCTAAAAATTTGATCTTGCCTCTTAATAAAGGTGTCTTAGCCTCTGTTAGTACCACATTATTGGGTGTGGTTCTTCTCAGACCTAGGGCTAATTTAATTGCTGTTCTCTGAGTCCTTTTTAAGGTGTTACTTAATTTTTTGTTGTGAATAAGAAAATACCAGTAACTGCCATTCTATATTATAAAGTACCATCAGGGTTTATGTGTCACATCCTCACTAGGTGCCCCAGAGGAATTTGATGATATTTATTATTTTAGTGCAAGTTGCTTGCAGGTGTTCTCAAAGCACAGTTGATTGTCCAGCTGAGTACCAAGAAATCTTGCCTGTTTTTGATTTCTCACAGTATGGTCTCCTAGTTTGAATGAGATTGAATTGGGTTACACATTGGTTTTGCTGAATATAAAAATTTTAGTTTGAAGAATAGTTGACATTGCTTTTTCCATTTCATTTTTGGCTGAAGCCAGATTTCTCCTTGTAAGGAAGATAGCAATATCATCCGCATACTGGGAGATCCGCGTAGCTGTTGAAAGACCACTTTCCACCCCACTAACATAAAAGTTAAATAATACTGGACTGAGTACACCACTAACATAAAAGTTAAATAGTATTGGACTAAGTACACCCTGCTGGGAGACACTCTTGTTGATTGTCCTGATGTATGGTTCTTCCATATTGTTGTAGTCTCAAATTACTTCTATTGTTCTGCATTGCATCCTGTTTAAAACGAAGTGTAATATATTTTTGGAAATTCCCATATCTGAAAGTTCTGCTAGCAGTATTTTTACGTTTACGTTGTTAAATGCACTCTTCACACCCAACAGTGCAACTATATTGTGTTGTTTTTTCACTATTGCCATTTTTTACTAACAATATAATCCTTTCTGTATTGTTTGCACACGTTCTACCTTTGTGAAAACCTGATTATGATTTACCTAGTTTGTGGTAATGTTCACACCACCAATATGAACAGTTGTTTAACAGTCTTTCATGCAATTTGCAAAGACATGAGGATAATGTAATAGACCTGCACTATAGATATCTACCATTGGATTTTGGTTTGAGAAGTACTTGTACATCTTTCCAGCTGGGTGGAGTTTGGTGTGTGATGTAAAGTTCATTAAAGAGTTCAAGAAGTATTAGTCTATTTGTAACTGACATGTGTTTTATTTTATTGTACTCCACTCCATCTGGTTCGGGGGCAGATTTGGTCTTGATATTCTTTATGGCAACATTTGATTCCAGGAAGTTGAAAGGGTTGTAAGAAAAAGATGTCCGATGTGGCATTAGCCATTACTTCAATTTTTTCAGAAACCCATGGAGGACATTTTTTTTTTATTGTTTCCTTCACTGTTTTGTGTTGTTCCTATGCGTTGACATGTGACCCTTCTCTGTTAACTCATTTAGATCTGAAGGTTCTTATCTTCTCCCATGTGTGTTTGATGTTTAAATGCAGATTTTCTTATTTTTAAGGAGTATTTTTGGTTATGGCACATTGTTTTTTATAATTTTCCTGTTCTTTAAAATTAAGGGTGTGCTTGCATTTTAAGAGACGAGACTCATAACAGGTTGATGAGAAATTTTTTTTTTTTTTTGCATAAATCGGTAGTAATACGTCTCAAAAATATGTCTGTGAAGTTGTAAACTGAAGTTCGAAGTATACAGGAGGCTGTATACTAGGATATACATATTAGGAGGCCGTCTTTCGAAACAAATTCATTTGCCATTTCTGTTGTTTTGAATTTGACTCTTGTCATGTTTTTTCCACATGGAATCAGCTAATATCGTCGTCATTTTTTGATTACTTGCTTGTCGCTTGATGGCCACATATCCTAGTCCCTTGGGGGTTTTTTGGGTATAATTTTTTTATTTTGGAATGTGCATGGGTGCATGGGTCCATTATTCTTTCCGGTGGATTCTTCTTGTCTACTATCATTTCGCTTTCAACGTCCAGCGATTGGCCACTCATTTTTCTTTTTGATAAATTATCGTAGTACCTGATTTTCCCTGACTTATGGAGCAAAATCTATGCCGTATCATTTTTTGGAGATTCATGTAAAACAGTTTTTAATAAAATTAATAAATGACGAGTTATTTTAGGTGGTTGTTCGTATTGACTCACCTTGTATATTTACCATAATTTAAGAGTTATACCAACCACCTTTTTCAGCAAGAGGACTTGAAGACAGTGCATGTTAATAAAAAATCATTTTGTTTACCAAATAATAGATGTTTGAAATGTTTTCCACATATATTCAAACAGTTTTTAATTCTTGAGATTCTCGTGAAGATTAATTTGAATTTATAGTATTACAGAAGCACAAGCTTCACAAATTCTTCTCATTGTGGTATTTTTTAGTATTAGAAGTGTAACTTTGTATTTAATAAAACCCTACAGAGTAAACTGTAATGATATAAGGTTTGGCAGATATGGTAGATATGGAGTAGCACTATCTCATTGTATAAAATTAATGTTAAATTAATTGTTTAAAATTGATCATATACTTTTTGTAAAGCGTGGAAAAGCTCCACAGAAGATTCTGAATAATTCAATGTTTACAATAAAGAATTCTGTTGAAAAGTACTCGATCTGTACATTACATTATTGTTTCATAGGAATTCTTCGGAATTTATCCAAAGGTGAACATATATTTATCGATATAACATATTTTTATCGCTTGCAGTACTGCAATAATAAAAACATATCATCTTGGTTAAAAAACTTCGCTGACCTTAAAATATCGCAAATATGACTTTGAGAAAAATCTATGTTATAATATTTGCCCCTTCATAACAGATATTTTTTTCTCTTATATCATTAAAACCGATGGAGAAACTCTAGGTTTTAATCTTACAATTAGATAATTTACCCTGTATATACCCATATAAGTGGATATAAGGTATTTGTATATTTTTTAAAAATGTTTACTATTCAAAATATATATGTATGTACTCATGTGTGCGCAAAGCAATATTATTACTGGTCAACATTTTTATCACAAATAGCCAGTATGTTTTGGAAAAATGTAAGAGAAAAAATTTTCACTTTTTTTTAGAAACAATATAATTAGTTTACCAGATTTTTAAATTTCCAACAATTTTCGAATATTAAAATTAAGCTTTAATTTTTTTTAATAAACAGCTATATCTTTTTTATATCATAGGAAAGTGATTGTTAAAGCAAATTCAAAAATGTAAAACATAATAATGCTTAAGGGGGTATTTTCGTTTGTGGGTTTGAAAAAATCGAAATTTTTTTGTATTCATTTTAAGGTTTGAAGTGTAAAGAACATATTTCCGAAGGGAAATTCGAAAATTCGAAAAGTTACCTAAGTTACAGCCCTTTAAATAGAACTGTGTACAGACTGTCACTGTAATCGTATTATGTGTATTTAGATCTTTCGTTATTCTTTTCCCCGGCATATACAGGTAAATACACTTCGGGTAGGGCAAGATAATATTATAGCATGAAAAAGGTTTTGCTAAACTTCTATTTACCCAATCTGTATTTCACGTGTGTTTGATCCTAAGGACTGAACGCATGTGTTCGTAGCCACGGTCTAGGTAATTGCTTTATGATTAAAGCTTTTGACTGTGCACTACGGATTGGTAATAACTGAAGTTGATAAGCGATAATAAACCTTGTAGCGTGTAAGACCGTAGCGCGCGGCAGGGCGATGGTCAGCGGCGAGGGAAGGGATAGGGTTGCGGGCGCGTAGTGCAAACCCAGATACACCGAGACATAAAACTCGTGCTCGGTGTACCGAGGGTGCTGATTGGGCGGCCAAGAAGCTCGAATATGTATAAAAAGGGGCTGTTTACCGAAAAAGGTAGGCAGTTGTGTCTAAGGTCTGGTACTGGCTATTCTACCCACTCTAGTCCGCTTCCAAGAGAGTTCTAATCCAGCCTGGCTATCCGGCTCGGTGAATGATCTTTCACCCTCCCCGTCCGTTGTCCACCATTTGCTCCATCCCCCTACCGGACTCTAACACCCCGCGAACTCGCGACCATCGCCTCGCCGTGCCTACTCGCGGCATACGCAGAACTTCACGAAGTGACGATTATAGTCGTGTAGCGAAGAGACCTTTTTTTTTCTACGAACTATTATCCTTATTGTTACTACGCTCTAAATGCTAATTGTGGAAAAAGTGATACGATTACAACCTTAATAAAGGTACTGTCCACCAGGGTCAGACTCGTGGTGTAAATGGCGGGTAGTAGAAGCCATGGAACGAATTTTTATCATAAACCGGCACTTGACAAAGAAGTTGAAAAGATGATTTTCAAAATTTGTGAAGATCTTCCTTTCTAGAACTTATTGGAGTGATGCTTCGGAGGAAATATGCAAAACAATAACGGAAGCTACAATTCAACACTTTGGCAATTCGCTCGGAAACACATATTTTGTTGACCGAAAATTATCCAAATATTCAACGACGGTCTTCAATCTCTGTTCAAAATTGTGGAAACAATAGAAATTACTATTAGTTCACAGACAAAAATATTTGCCGAATGCAAAGACGAAGACTGGGTGAAAGCAATCAAGCGTCGAAGCTATGAAGCGACGAAAGAAACAAGGATAGCCAGAAAAAGAAAAAGGAAACGTAAAATGAATTCTACGAGGACGCAGAAGGATTATTATATGGCCTCGGAATAGCTGATTAATTCTAAGTTACCAGAATTACTAATAAAATAGAAAAGAAATACACTTCAAACTTTAAACGTGTTTTTCTCAAAACTACGTTTTTCATATTGGCAGAAGTTATAAGTCATAGAATAATTCAGATATTAATTTGAAATTTTAACTACGTATACGAAACATGCTTCCCTAAAGCTAGTAGTAAAATTAAGTAAAAATATGATGTACTTTTCCCTTTATTAACAAAAACATTCACATTTCCCATGTTTCAACGACTGCCATGTAGATAATTTTCAACGAATAATGTTTATTTTACTGCGAACACTGAACATAATCCTACTGAACAATAAAACGTTAAAATATTTATTTCACATCAACTGGTTATCCAGATAGTTCCGCAAGCGGAGGATGTTTTCCACACAGCCATTACTAACATGTATTATACAAGGTGTTCCGTTTAACTGGAAACAGTGGAATTTCTCATGAGGGATTGAAGTTATGTAAAAACTGTTCTTACAAAAGTTGTTCGGCATATAGGGGAACATTAGGTGGTCTAAATAATTTTTCTGCAGATATAATAGTGAGAGAGATATCAAAGTCAAGTTAATTTTTTTAAATCGAACCGTGTATTTTTTTATTCATAATATGGTAGCGTTTATTGAGACGAATTCAACGATGTGTCACGCGAACTCATTTCGTTTTGTTTGAGTCAAGTCGACACGCACATGTGTCGCACGCTTTGGATCAGTTAAACTCTAATTTGACTATGCTACTAATACAAATTCTCCACGATTTTACAACTTTTCATGAAACGAAATGACTTAATGTGGCACTTCGTTGAATTTGTCTCGACAAACGCTACCATATTATGAATAAAAAAATATAGGCTGCCATTTAAAAAAATTAACTTGACTTTAGTAAATCCCGCACTGCTACACTTGTAGAAAAATTATTTCGACCATTTAATGTCCCCTTATATGCATACCGAACAACTTTTATAGGAACATTTTTGTCATAGCTTAAATCCCTTGTAAGATATGCCACTGTTTCTAGTTAAACAGAACACACTGTAAATATTTATTTTACAAATCACAAAAATACTAAACAATACACTGAACACCCCATAAATATGTATATACGAAAAAGACCTTTTAATTGATCTTATATCTTCCGAGAAAAAAATTTCTAAAAAGACGATCTTTTTCCACACTTGCAAACGAGAATACTCCCTTAAAGTCTCGTAAGGTCATCTTAGGTAATTAATAATTGTTACAACTTTAAGAAACTAATATAAATAATGCGCTCATAGAATATTTTCCTCTTCCGTTTTCTTAATTTAATTGTTATTTAGCAGAAAAGTACTGGGTAGAGATAATGTAAAAATTTTGTTTTATTTACTTACATAATATATTGTTATAATGCATGTATTGGGTGGTTCGGAAAGTTCGTAGCGAAATGTAAGAAAAATTCAAACTGACGTATCTCTGTTTCTAATCGAGATAGCGATAAAAAACCAAAAGGTATTTTACTCGTTATTTGAAGATAAATTCAATGTGGCCCTAATATTACTCCCAAAGCGAACTATATTTTCTGCGGTGGAGCGTTACCACGAAAAATTCAACATCCACGCTTCACTTGTATATATACCCCCCTTCACCTTACGAATTATTTGAGTAGTGCGTTCGATTCACCTTCAACTGTCGAGAAAAATACCGTTTAACTTTTATCGCTATGTCAATTAGAAACAGAGATACGACGGTTTAAATTTCGCTACGAACTTTCCGAACAACCCAATATACAGGGTGTCCCAGGTTTTAACGGCAAAACGTTGTCAGTATATTCCATGGGTTGAAATTAGAAAAAAATGTTATACAAACATAGATCTTCTGAAGCTTTATTAAAAAGTTATGGCAATAATACAAAATTAAGAGAACAATAGCAGACTCGCGGTTACTGCGATATACGTAATACAGCAATAGATCAGCAATATTTACGTTTACTCTGTTTATGCAAGAAGTAACTAATATTCCATCTCAAAAATGTTCACCGTTTATGGCAATCCAAGATTGACATCAGAAAACATCAGAAGACATCAGAAAACAGAATTTATTACTCTGCGAATTTCGTTATTATTTTGTTTCATTTCAGTAAATGCATCGTTGATTTTTTGTATCAATCAGTACACGATCTTATAAATATCGCGCAAATATTGATGATCCATTTTTTGTGTTTATGTTCTCTTAATTTTGTGTTATTGCCATAACTTTTTAATAAAGCTTCAAAAGACCTATGTTTGTATAACATTTTTTTCTAATTTCAACCCATGGAATATACTGGCAACGTTTGGCCGTTAAAACCTGGGACACCCTGTATAAATAAATAGATGTAAATATCAAAGGTTTCAGTAAATATTTGCAACATATGTACAACGTTTGCAAATGTTAATTTTATTTCTGTTATGTTTTTCCAGGTAAGGAGAAAATAAATTTTCAAGATACGGTCCAACCATGCAAAAGCAGTTCTGAAAAAGTGCTCCAGTGTTTCCAAGTCCATCCTCAAGAAATTTTAAAGTGTTCTAATGCAGTCGAAGAATTTTTTGATTGTGTAGATCAGCGACGTGCACGTGTGATTGCAGCACGTTGTTAATATATTTGAATATTAAGTCAGTAGTAGTTCAATTACCTACTTACAACATTATACTACTAACATTAAATAAAATTTTTATTACAGAAAAATGTTTAACCCGAACGGTATAAAAAATATAATTGGTAAAAAGGGGGTCATTAAAATTGAAAAAAGATGCCAATAACGGGTCATATAGAAATTTACATATACTTTATAGCTTGAGGAAATTTGATACAAGTATTTAAGAATATTTGGAAAAAAGTAGAGTAGATGATTGAGTGAACTGAATGTTTTGATTTTGTCACGCGCTGCGAGGACCGGTGTGCGGAGCTCAGCGTGCGTAGTCTGGGTTTTACGGTTAAAGCACGATTATAGCTAGGAAAATTAGATGAACCGGTGTATGGCTAACACCGGGAACCGAAGGTTGGGTTTACGTGAATGGATCAACGTATGGATAACTCTGGGGGCCACTAGAATAGATTTTGTAGACGAACCGACGAATGTGAAATCATCTTTGTTATCTTTTATTAATATAAAAGTAAATTATTTTGAAAGGAGGGAAACCGATTTTTATGAACATAGAATGACGAAAAATATAATCATTCAACCAATCAATTGTAAAAATAAAATGCTGCTTTGCAAAAGTAACAATACTATATTTGCGTGCATATAATACAATACTTACATCCTTTATTTCTTTGTAACTTCTAAACTTTGCGAACATTACACAATAGCATTATGGTTGTAAAGTACATTACGTATTTAAAATATTCAAAGGGTCTAGCAGGATAAGACGGTAAAAAGTGTCCTAGAACCAATTAGAAAGAAAATATTTGATACCAGTTTTCAACCCTAGCTCGACCTAGGGGGTAGTTACAGGGTAGTTTATGTTCATGAGTTTTTTGACTATTTTTCCTATTTAGTGGTACGCAAAAATTTTGAAAAAAATCTAGCACATTGCGTATATGAAGGCACATGTTAGGGAATTTTCCCGATTTTTTTATTGCAAATCCTAGTTGTAAAAAATAAAAAACGCAAGAAAGCGGATATCTTTTGAAATATTGAAGCGATTACTTTTATATTTATTTAGTAGCAGCATCTTAGCATAACTATTATCCTCAATTTTTTTCCAGATTTTTTGACAAGGTGCGCTGTAGTTAAAAAAGATTAAAAACCAAGTTATTTTGTGTATTTTACTTACAAAAGTAATATGAATTTCGAAGTATGTTATTGGTGCAGCGCAGCGGTTAGGTGTTTACCTTGCGGAACTGCAGCAAGTTATTTGGTCATGCGTTCTAGCCTCCCTAGACTAACTTCTTTTTAATATATTAATGATATATTTTTTAAAATTCTTAACTACAAATCAATGAATAGTATTTGTTTAAAAACATTTTGGAAATATTTTAAGAATATTTCATTATTTCAATATGCAACCCACCTACAATTATTAAAGACAAAAAATTTTAAAACCGAACTCTTACATTCATTTAAAGTAAAAAATGTTAAACAGTACCAAAATTAAAAGACAAGGTTTCAACTGCCTTTAAATGTAGAAATTTTGGTTGCTAAACCGAATATTGTAGCATGTCTGTATCTTTTTCCTCTTCTAAAGGAATTCAACCTACAGATCTAGAAACATGTATTATAGTAAACCTAAGAAGTACTTTGTTAAGACCATAATGTAACTTCAGCTCCTGTATACTTATGTATTTACACATATATAATATAAACCTTCACTAAGGTTTCTCAAATAAAAAATAAAAGTAACATAATTAAGAGAATACGTGGCCACAGAAACGATGGAATAAAAAGTGCTAACGGTTATCGTTAGCGTTTTTGTTACCGCTTTATTGTTAAATTAAATGGTGTTACATATTATATTTACAGTGGGTGATCAAATTATTATAGCCACCTGTAAGAAATTGACGATTTTACATTATAACGATTAATTTTCAGATGAAAACGTAGTTATACTGATTTCTTATTACTTCTTTTATGAAGCGTTAGGTAATATTATCTGTCATATGGACGTTATTTTGTATCAGTACTGCAAATCACAACCTGAAAATCACGTATTACAGTTTTGTTGGTTTATAGATCTTGAGCATTTTAATTTTTGTGACAGTGTTTTTACTACTTATAATGGGGCGTTTATTGGGGGAGGGGGGCAACCGCAGGTAGGTTATGTATTGGTCGCGACAGATCTTAATATGTAGTAGGTTCGGGTGGTTGGCGAGTCTATTGCTTAGTTTTGTAGCGACCCTCCTGTGCTCTGCCATCAGCGGGACGGGCTAATCAAGTTCTCGCTAGTCTTCATAAAGGCTCCTACTTGTATATATGTATACAACTTCTAACCTGAGTCCTTCCAGTCTTTCCCGCATCTAAGGCACGAGTCTCCTAGGTAGCCTTACTGACAAGTCCACTAGGAGGCTCAGGACGAAACGCCCTAACCTTTCCTTTCCCGCATATCCTCTAACAGTTTCCTACTCAGCTTCAGGTTTGTGTTAAGGTTTTTTATGTGAACTACTATTAAGGGGATATTTAAAGTGCGATGTATTTAGGTGATGAGTGTGTGTCTGGGGATTTTGACGGCGATTCGAAGACATTTGTTTGGTGTTATCTGTATTTTGTTCATTTGTGTGTGTGCTGTCGTGTGCCATACATAGGGGAGGCGTATGTGAGGACGGGGCGGATGATGAATTTGTAGAGTAGGAGTTTGAGTTTGATGGGGAGAACTGGTGATTTTAGTAGGTTATAGTATCTGGCGAGGATGGAGGAAGTGGCTTTTTTGCTTACTTCTGCTTGTTGCGTCCCTTGCTCCGCAATTCTTTAGTGAATTTAACAGGGTTGTAAATCCTGCTTATGTTTGGTCGCGACGGTCACTCAAGACGCTAGTCAACGGGAAATTAATCCTGATGACCGTATTGAAAGTTGACTCTTGATCGAGTCTGATGTTATACTTTACGAGACTCTCGGGCGAGTCTTCGGAAATACTGTTTGAGTCGTCGTGACGATGTATAGCGTGCACTGGTTTAACAATAATTCGTGTTTCGTAGGTGTGTCGGTGTATACATATATAAACGTTATGTTGGTTCTGATTGGTTGTTGTGTTACGGAGGTGGAAAATGTGGCGTGTTCAGTAGAACAATAGTAATTGGTCGACTAAAGATGTGATTTTGGGGGATCGAATCCTCAGTAATGAATGTTTTATGGTCCCAAGTGTTTTGGGCCTATTGTTCGAGTGTCGCGCCGGTACGTCCACGGGGGGTATAATATGGCTGTCTGCCGAACATCGGCAGCTCGGTCTGGTGGCCAAATGTGACTAAATCGTTTATATTGTCATAATCCGCCAAACCGAGGCTTCGTTGCGCCCTAATGAGGTCGCAACACTGCTGTTTGGGTAGCTCAGGTAAGCCCGGCGTCTATATAGATTACCTAGGTATTTGATTGAGTTCTGGAACTGGATAGTGTAGTTTTGAATTTTGACTGTGGATAGATATAAAATGTATCGTGTCGTGCACGTCGCGTTCTGATCGTTGACTCGCGGACGTACACTCACGTACTGTTACCTACCAAATTAATATTGGGTAACTTATTCAATTTCCGTTTCGCTCGAACGTTAGCGAAAATCGGATGTATTGCATCACGAACGATTGACGACTGTATGCGAATGTAAAAACGAATGAATGTGTTGCATCGACTACGAATAAACTACTTGAATGTGTGTCTCGGGCACTTGTGAACGAATGAATGTCTCGAGAATGACAGACGAATCTGTCGACGAATGTAAGACGAAAGTTCCGCTCGAATGGCGCGGATGAATCTCGATTGTGTTGTCTCGACTACGTTAGACTCGAATCTGCTGGATGAATATTCCGCTTGAATGACGCAGATGAATCCGCCGATTTTTTGGGGAGTCCGATTATGACTCCTCCGCGAATGCAAGAAGGCATGCTGATTGGTTTGTCACGAAATCACAAATTACCAATGTGTAATCAACGTGCCTCTTGAGAGTCGCCCCCCCCCCCCCTTCAAATGCGCCCTTAGCGCGCTTTTTCTTGGAAGGAGTGGGGCGATACCTGCGGGTACGTGGAGCCTTCGATGTCCTTGGGTGACGCGTCGGAAATTCCCGCCAGGTCAACCCTCGGCCGAAAGTGCCGTTATACGTGCGTGTGGATTGATCCTTTAGGAACACCTGGTTTATGTCACGTCTTCGGCTGTTGAGGACGCAGAAAAATGAAAATTCTAAAGCCATTATTCGGAAGAAGTTAAGTATTTTTCGCGTTGCTACGAAGCGTCTTTCGACCACTTTGGAGAGTGAGTTGAGTTTAGGTATTGGGATGATGGCCGCATTCTTTCAGGTACATATTGGGAAAGTATCTATGGGTGAGGATGGCGTTGATTATATATGTTAATCGGACTACAGTGATACCTTTCACATTGTCACCATGGTCGGAACCGAAAAGCGTCAGTTGGGTACAGGAGACGGTTTTCGAGGGTCGCAGCCCGCCTTTGTAGTTTGTCGAACGAAGACAAGGACAACCAATAAGAGATAAGAATGAAACGAGGGTCGAGGCAACCGAGCGATTTAAACATTATCGTTTTTATTTTTAACTTTTTCTGTATGAAAAAGTTATTAACATATGGATGATATTGTTCTGATTAAAATGAAACCAAACACGATATAATTTGAACAAAATTTACTTATTAATACTTATGGAGTAACTCGTTCGATTTCATTATCGCTTTGAATAACGTATAAAAACGGATTGCTAACAAAAAACATGAAATATCTGTACACATTGTCCGTCGAATGTAAGCTGTAGCTTCTCATTTTCCGTCGAATGCATAACCTGTGCCTTTACATTTTCCGTCGAATGCATAAGCTATGCCTAGAAAATTCAGAGGCACAACCTACAGTGAAAGCACGGCTCGTATGACAGAGACAGTGTGAAGGGAGGGATTAAAGTGCGTTCAATTTAAGAGTAACCTCGCTCTCGGACCGATTTTCGTCCGTTCTG